CATCCTAATGCGAATTATCAGACCTTTTCAGGAGATAAAATATAACCAATTCATGTTACATGCATCTTATGTATACATTTTAGAGTGTCATATCTATCATTTTCTTCCCACATACATAATTTTTGCAGATTTTAGAGTCAAGTTTCGACTTCAAGACGAAGGATACTCGAATCAAAAGCACCTTTAAAGATTTATGTTGGTTGCTTAACTCAGCAGCAAGAAGCTACACTTCAACCAATTTGACATATTGAAAGATCGACAGATCTTAGAATCAACTTCAGACGAGTTCGAGAGATAATTCAAAATCGATCCAGTTCGCATTTTCAAGTTGGATTTCAACTTCACGACGAAGGATATCCAATTCCTGGCTCAACTTCACGACGAAGGGGCCACCCACGATTTCAACTTCACGACGAAGGGAATCGTGCTCACCATTGTCTCTCTTGAGACAGTTTCCCTTGAAACAAACTTTGTCTCTCTTGAGACAGTTTCCTTTGAACAAAATTTTGTCTCCCTTGAGACAGTTTCTCCTGAAACATAAACATTGAAAACATTTCCCTTGAAATGAATTTCGTCTCTCTTGAGATAATTTCCCTTGAAACAAATTTTGTCTCCTTTGAGACAGTTTCTCTTGAAACACAAAATCTTTGAGATTGTTTCCCTCGAAACAAATTTTGTCTCCTATGAGACAGTTTCTCTTGAAACACAAAATCTTGAATTTATCTCCCTTAAAACAAAATTTCGTTTCTCATGAAACAACAGATATCTTTGAAATCGTTTCCCTTGAAACGAATTATGTCGCTTTTGAGGCAATTTCTCTTGAAGCGTCATCTTTGAATATGTTTTCCTTGGAACTAATTTCATCTCCCCGTGAGACAATTTCTTTTGGAACTAAGTTTTATCTCTCTTGAGACAGTTTTTCTTAAAACAAAATTTTGTCTCCCTTAAGACCGTTTCCCTTGAAACAACAGATATCTTTGAGATCGTTTCCCTTGAAACGAATTCTATCTCTTTCAAGACAACTTCTTTTGAAGCATCATCTGAACTGTTACACTCAGCTCAGGCACATACTTGAGATGGTCGAGAAGCATTTCTCAAATCAAAAATAGAATGTGCACATCAGATTTGAAAATTTGAAGAATTCAAGATCATGGATCAAAATTTGAAGATTCAAGAATCAAGATTCCAGACAGGCAACTGGAGATCGAGATTTCTCTCCAGAGCCCCAAGATAACATATGTTGCATATGCATTTTAGGCACACCTAAGAGCATTGCATCCATAGCATCACATATATGCATAACTTTTTCAGGTTTTAGCTAGAGTCAATTTCAACTTCGCGGCGAAGGATATTGCACTCAAAGTGACACAATTTGCTCGAGAGTGGATTTCAACTTCACGACGAATGATATCTAGCTCGAAGCTATACTTCACAACGAAGGGGCCATCCGCGATTTCAACTCCACGACGGAGAATATCGTGGCACTCGAGACAACACAAGTTCAACTTCACAACGAAGGGACGGCTGGTTGTCAACAAACAACTTCTCAATTTCAGAGCCAATTTCAACTTCACAACGAAGGATATTGGACTCCAGACAACGCAAGTTCAACTTCACGACAAAGGGACCGCTGGTTGTCAATAAACAATTTTCCCAATTTCAGAGCCAATTTCAACTTCACAGCGAAGGATATTGGACTCCAGACAACGCAAGTTCAACTTCACGACGAAGGGACCGCTGGTTGTCAACAACAACTTCCCAATCTCAGAGCCATTTCAACTTCACAACGAAGGATATTGGACTCCAGACAATGCAAGTTCAACTTCACGACGAAGGGACCGCTTCTTGTCAACAACAACTTTCCAATCTCAGAGCCAATTTCAACTTCACAACGGAGGATATTGGACTCCAGACAACGCAAGTTCAACTTCACGACGAAGGGACCGCTGGTTGTCAACAACAACTTCCCAATCTCAGAGCCAATTTCAACTTCACAACGAAGGATATTGGACTCCAGACAATGCAAGTTCAACTTCACGACGAAGGGACCGCTGCTTGTCAACAACAACTTTCCAATCTCAGAGCCAATTTCACTTCACAACGAAGGATATTGGACTCCAGACAACGCAAGTTCAACTTCACGACGAAGGGACCGCTGCTTGTCAACAAAATTTCATTCAGAGCCAATTTCAACTTCACAGCGAAGGATATTGGACTCCAGACAATGCAAGTTCAACTTCACGACGAAGGGACCGCTGTTTGTCAACAACAACTTCCCAATCCCAGAGCCAATTTCAACTTCACAACGAAAGATATTGGACTCCAGACAACGCAAGTTCAACTTCACGAAGGGACCGCTGCTTGTCAACAAAATTTCATTCAGATTCAATTTCAACTTCACACGAAGGATATTGGACTCGAGACAACACAAGTTCAACTTCACAACGAAGGGACGGCTGGTTGTCAACAAACAATTTCCCGGTTCCAGAGCCAATTTCAACTTCACGACGGAGGATATTGGACTTGGAACAATGCTACTTACTTGGATTTCAACTTCACGACGAAGGATATCCAACTCAAAGAAAGATTATCTGCCATCAAAATTGTCGAGTTCGACTCCATTCAGCTCGATGACACATCAATCACACTACTTTCCGGTTGCAGTCGAGGTTTTCAAGTCGAGAAGAGGACCTGGGTTAGCCGTGCCTTAGTGACAAGCAACCATTTTCAAACAGCATAGCTTAAGTCAAGAAAAAGATATCTGTCAATGAAGATTTCTGAGTTCGATTCCGATCCAAGGTCTTTAAACCGAGAAGAAGACCGAAGGGTAACGGGAAGCCACGTGCTGATTCAAATTCCGAACTACGGCTTTAATTTCATATCATTTCAAGATGAACTCGACTTCACGATGGAGGAGTCATCCGTAACTCAATTCGACAGGGAGTTATTGAAACATCATAGTCAATTTTCAACTCCACCGAACGAAAAGTGTGTCTTTTAATCTTTGCCCTATCCCCGTTACACGACTATGGGCAAAGAGGGGCAGCTGTCAACACACATTTTCGTCCTACTAGAATTCAAACTCCTAAAGATAGGATAGAATTTTACTAGGATTCAAAAAATAGGATAGAGTTCTACTATTATTTAAACTCCTAAAGATAGGATCCACAAGCACTATAAATAGCCATTGTAACTCACTATTGTAACACACGATTTACACACAAAACATAGAGGAAAGCACGGGAAGATACAAAGGCAAAGCTATTGTAAAGGATTCGAAAAGGAAATAAAAGGTAGCATTTTCTTTTTTCTTTCTTTTGCATGTGCACGTTATTTTTCTTGAGATTTGGTTCGAATAACCCAAACGTGGGTTGCGCCGATGACCAAAATGGGTAGGGTTTCGAAGTTTCGAACCTAGATCTACCCCGAGGCTTATTTTGAAAAACCGGTTTGATTTTCGGTTAAAGGAGGGAAATAGCTTTTTAAAAATCTATATTAGTACCTTTATTTATTATATGGATATTTTATTCATTTATTTTTATTATTTATGTTATTATTATTATATGTATATATATATATATTTCTTTAATATTCTACTTATAAGTCTATTATTACTATATATATTGTAATTATCTTTATCTAGTCATATATTTTTTTATACTTTTAATGGTTGATTTATATACCTATTATTAATATATATATATTCTTAATTATTTTTATTTGATTATTTTTTTATTTACGTATATCTTATAACTTTATATATATATATATATATTTATTTCGTTTTTTTTTTATATTATTATATTTTTTTTAAAAAATCTTGTGTCTTTATCATTATTATTAAAAATATTATATATTACTAACCTAGATGACCCATTTTTTTGTCTTATTTCTGACTAAAGCCCCTCACTTTCGGTGAAGTGAAGGGTAACTTTTCTTTTTTAATACTTTGATGTATATATATACTTTTATATATATTTTCCTTTTTCTTTGATGTATATATATATATATATTTTCCTTTTTCAAATATTACTATATATATTACTTTACTATTTTTTTCCTTTATCTTATTTATTTATTTTATTTATTTTATTTTTCCCTTTTCCCTTATTTGTTTTATTTACCTTGTTTATCTAACACATTTCTCGATTTTTTAAGGATATTTTCAAATCAATAAAGGGTAAGTAATTGGGGTCGAAACTTTACCTTTTAATTTAACTTGTTATTTTTCTTAATTAAGACAACTGGAAATTACGTAGTACCGAAAGGGCGGTTCAAGGGTGCTAATCCTTCCTTGACCGTAACCGACTCCCGAGCCCGACATATTTCTGGTAAGACGCAGATCAGGTAAGAAATAGGGTATCCGATCAACCCATTTATTTTTAAATAAATGATCGGTGGCGACTCCAATCCATTTTCCTAAGTCGAAGCCCAATTCCGGGGCCCAACCGAAAGACGGTTGCGACAATAAGATTTATCATAAATTATATCAAAGGATCATGATTTTGTAGGAATCCGAAAGCCTTTGTATCCAAAAATATTCTTTCAAGGTTGTAACTACATAGGGGTTCTTGTAGACTTGATGTGAATAATAAAGGTCAATCTTACAAAAGTCAAAAGAGATTGCATAAAACTTATCAGAGGCCATATCACACCACTCCAAAAAATATAAATTTTCAGAAGTCTTTGTATCCGACCTAAGATTTTAACTATGGAGGGATTCTTAAAAAAATCATATACGAAACAGAACTCAATCTTACAAAGGAGATTCAGAAAAAAAATAATAGGGCTTTTTTCGATTACAATGAGTTTTTTTAAAGTTAAAAAGTTATAATATTTTTATTAAATTTATATTTTTAAATTATTTAACTGACCTCTTTCTGAATGGTTTTTAGGCTTAAAACAAAACGGGTTATTTTTATAAGATTTTATATTTATTTAGTTTAAGAATTAAATTGAAAAAAAATCAAGGATAAGTTGAAACAAGTTACCAAGTTCAGTGACCTGAAGTTTACATATCCTAAAGAAAAACCAGACGCACAAACTATAGGGGTGCTTGATTATTGCCCAAAATTCCAACAGTGAAATATGGAACAAGATTCCTACAAGAAATCCAAAGGAAGCACCGTTGAGGAATGCCAAAGCATGATTCAAAGAAGTCTACGGAGTAAAGTTTCAAATCCTTCTTAATCCTTTTTTTTTGTTTCTTAAATGTATGATTTTCATGGGTTTCACGTTTAGTGTTTGCGAGCTTTTCTTTTATTGGGGTTTTAGGTCAATATTCATTTGAGAATATTTGGTGGTTTATTCATAGGAAACCTTTGGGAAATGCTTAATTTATCTGCTTTACTTGCCGTAATGGAGTTCTCGGGGTTTATGATTTTTTTTTAATCCGAGGCTTTAGGTTAATACTCAAATGTTCTATTATTGGTGGTTATTCATGGAGAAACAATGGGAAATGTTCAATTTTGTTGTTTTACTTACTCGAATGGAGTTCTCAGGTTTTATGGGTTTAGATCAGGGATTTTTATCCCAAAATTCACCAAAATAAAGAACCATACAAAAAATCCAAAGGATGCACTGGTGAGGAACGCCATAAATGATTCAAAGTAGACGGACTAAAGTTTCACTTTTTTTATTCAACTTTTTTACGTTGAATTTATGATTTTATTGGATTTCAATCTGTTTAGTGTTTAAGAGTCCTTAAAAATGTCCTACATGCATTAGGACATGGGGTTTTCGTTGAATTTAATCCTATTGGATTTCAATCTGTTTAGTGTTTAAGAGTCCTTAAAAATGTCCTACATGCATTAGGACATGGGTTTTCGTTGAGATTTAATCCTTGTCATTGTGAGCAATCCGTGGCTCTTGCATGGTTTCCTAAACTGTGTGAACCACACTAGGTACTCATTAATTGCTCAACGGACGACACTACTAAGACACCTCCCTAAGGAGTCGAGAGACCTGTCAACTAAGTATCAATTTTCGTTGCTTTGTAGATTGAAGTATTCATTCAAGGTTAAGGATTTATGGGTTTTGAGTTCTCTTTTTAGTCAATTCAGTTTCTGAGGTTTATCAAGAAGAGTGAGTAACAAATAAATTCAAGCTTTTACAAATTTTTGCCATGTTGGAGTGAATTTGCAAGTTTCTCAGTTCTATATAATATGTCTCCTTGCACTTCACAGCACCAGTCAAATCTATATACGATTGAATGTGTCATTTATCATTATTTTGTGTGTATATTTGGAATAGCTCCAATGGTTAAATTTTGATGGAGCATATGGAAAGCTGGGTGTAAATTAGGAGATAATTTCATCAAGGCAGTTAATTGCGACCGGCAGATGGGTGGAGGCTATGTTCGTGGTGATGGGTAAGCCTCTTTACTATTTTTCTTTATACTAGAAAAGTAGCTTTGAGTTAATTCAATTCAAGCAGCTTATCGACCACGGTAATTTGACTGTAAAATGAGTATAAACTCTTAATCCGTTAATACAGAATGAGTAATGGTTTATTTAATGAAATATTGCAATTGCTTTTCTTATAAATGTTTTTTCTTTTATAAGTTTCGTGTGTTTCTAGATAGTGGTGTGTAGCAACCATATGAAACTGCAAGACGATGTCAATCAAGTAGTTATACATGAGCTTATTCACGCATATGATGAATGCCGTGCTGCGAATTTGGACTGGTCTAATTGTGCTCATCATGCTTGTAGTGAGGTTTGTCAAACCGGAAACTGTCTTAGTTTAATGTCCTGCATTTGGTTTCTACTTGTATCCGGGCTCCCTCGGTACACTTGGGTAAGTAGATGTCTTCAAATTTTTTTTCTTCTGTTATTGCAGATTCGTGCTGGACATCTAAGTGGCGATTGCCACTACAAACGGGAATTGCTGCGGGGTTTTATGAAGATAAGGGGGCATGAACAAGTGAGTTCTTTTCCCTCTTATTTTGTATCTTTATCTTATTTACTCCCAAGTAGGAGTTGTGCTAGGAACATGAATCCGAATAAAACATTAAGGGGTTGTATTTCCTAAAAGAACTCAGTCACTACTTTTGATTCCTTTTACAATCTTTTTCTTGTAAAATACGAAATAGCTCTATGAAGCAGAATTTTCAAGACGAAGAGGAGTTGGCTCCTCTGTGCATAACAGATTCATCTTGAGAAATATATTTCGGACCAGCCCTTTGCATCTACTTCTTCCTAGTCACTGCTCCGACTCTTCCCTTTTATTAGCATATTTGTGTCTAATGCATTTCGGAATGGGTATAGGAATACGATAAGGACCCTACAATATATGGAAAAACTTGGAAAATCCTTATTGCCAATGCTTGTACTTAACACTCAAACCCAAATCCAAGTAACAAGGTTTCTAGTCGCGCACTGTTAGTTCCAGCGTGTTATTTGTTGTACTTACAAAGCTAGAAGTAAAGAAATTTGTGATGGAAACCCACCTCTATCTTGCTAATGACTCATTAATGCTGTGCATCATTCACTTCAACTTAGTTATGGTCTTTCCTTCTTCTATATTCTGTATAGAATCTAAATGATTTATGTTTTGGTTTTGAAGGACTGTGTGAGAAGAAGAGTTCTGAAATCATTGACCGTTAACCCCTTCTGCTCCGAAACAGCCGCGAAGGATGCCATGGAAGCCGTGTGGGATATCTGTTATAATGACACGAGGCCCTTTGACAGAGCTCCTTGAACTCCAGTCACGGCCACCCCGATCGGTTTCTACTTCAAATGATTCTCTAATAAATCCTTTTATGTGTCGTACAATAGGAACATTCATTTCTATGTAAGGGAAATTTCATTTCTTGATGAAAAAGGTTTTTCTCCTCTGGGAGAACTTGAAAGGTAAGGATTGTAGCGTTGCTAGATGTCATACAAATTTTACAGCAAGAGTTGTTGAGATGTGATTAAGGAATTGAGATTTACTCATAATCCCAAATTTCGTTGAATTCATTCAACTATTCCCTTTTTCGAATTCATTATACCAAATCATCTGTCTCAGGTCTACAATCAATCCAAAACCATGAATCATAAACAGATCGGGTTCATTGTTATACTATTAATTTAGTGGCTTGATTTGATTGGCCTTCTTTAATCTCATAATCTAGACAGGTGTAGTTATTTCCAGGTTCCGTGGCGGCACTGCTTTTCTTCTTCTTTCGTTTCTTTGGTACATGATAAAAGATTAATCAAACTGTCAACGGTCCTCGACTCTGCCATCATCATCTTCCTTTTATTTTTATATATTTTCATTTAACATATAATTTCATTTATTCTTTTTATGGTTACTTATTGTTTATGTCAATTTAATTTACACTGACAAACGATTAAATCACTAATCATCTATGTTTTGCTTATCTATTTCATTAATTTACGATTTATTTTATAGATTTAAAATTTTATTTTTATTTGTTTAATAAATACTTTTATTTTTACAAAAAATAATATATATCGGATACATGTTTTTGTCTTATTTTTACAGGTTCCTATTTTATTTTATTTTTCTTTCAGAATTAATTTTATTGTATCATGATTAATGTATGATTCTTTTCCCGTATATTTATTTTCACTAAATCGAATAAAATAATAATAAGACGTCTTCAATACGATTTTATCTAGAATGAACTGCCTTAAGAATAAAAGTTTAGGTACTAAAATAAAATAAATAATTTAGGTACTAAACGTGTAATTAATCAAATTATCTATTAAAAACAAAAAGAAAAATCAAATAAAAAAATTGAGAAACAGTTCGTTCAGTGAGAAACGAAAGGGGCACAGAGTACATCGCCAAATTCATTAGAACATAAAAGATAAACACTTGTTTCATAGTTTCTCACGACAACGTGCAGTGTCATCTCCGCCCCTCATGCTCTTTCTCCTCTCTTTCCATTATTATTATTTGTTCTTCTTCTTCTTCTTCTGCATATCTTCATTTCCTCTCATCTTTTCTTCTTATAATTCCTCTCATTTCTCTTTCGATGGCCCCTGCTTTCGAACAAGTCCCACAAGACACTGAAACCCAAACCGAAGCACCCCATAAAGCGTCCAACACTGTAAACAACGATGCTCAAGTAGATTACAAATCAAGGGTCACTGTTGTTGGTAGTGGCAATTGGGGCAGTGTTGCTGCTAAGCTCATTGCTTCAAACACCCTCAAGCTCAACTCTTTTCATGGAGCTTACAGATGTCATTAATAGAACTAACGTAAGCATTTAAAGACATTTTTATTTGCAATTTATTTGGTTCTTCAAATGTTTCAATATAGATGGTCTGATTTTCTTTTGTTTCAACAGGAGAATGTTAAATACCTCCCTGGTATTAAACTTGGTAAAATGTCATTGCAGATCCAGACCTCGAAAACGCAGGTACTTATTTTGCTGTTTTCTTTAGATTTCTTGTTGATTTGTAGACTTTTGAGTGCTTGTTTTCCGTGTTGCTCCGACTCTTTATTCTTCTTGAGCTACTCGAACCCGAGTAAATGCTTGTATTAAGGGTTAGATGTTCATTTTGTTTATGGTGATACTGGAAATTATGCAGTTAAAGATGCAAACTTGTTGGTTTTCGTAAACCCCCATCAATTCATGGAGGGTATATGCAAAAGGCTTGTTGGTAAAGTGAGGGAAGATGGTGAGGCTATTTCACTTATTAAAGGGATGGAGGTTAAGATGGAAGGCCCTTGCATGATCTCCACTCTTATTACTGAGCAGCTTGGCATCAATTGTTCCGTTCTGATGGGGGCGAATATCGCGAACGAGGTAATCGCTGATTTTACTTTGAGAAGGTCACATCCCTTGCCACTTTGTCATTTGTTTTCTATAAGTATTGGTTGAGTCTTAGATCGCTGTGGAGAAGTTCAGTGAAGCAACGGTTGGGTACCGAGACAAGCGAGATATTGCAGAACAATGGGTCCGGTTATTCTGTACCCCATATTTCATTGTCACTCCTGTGAGTACCATTAATGTACCTTTTCTTTCGAGTCTCAATTAAACATCAAACTTATAGATTGGTTTACAGTTTCAATTACTCTAGGTATAACTTTAAATTTTAATGGTCGGATTTAGTGCTATGATGAATCATTCAAAAGGAACTAGGAAGATATCATAAAATGAATTATAATTTCTGCCTTTGTGTTTCATGACAAACAGGTTCAGGATGTGGAAGGGGTTGAACTATGCGCACGTTGAAGAATGTTGTGGCATAGCAGCCGGTACAATCACAATAATGTCTAAGTTCGGTTTCATCCTTCTAATTCTGCTTGTGAACTAATATCAATCCTACTACCAAATGCTAGGTGTCGTAACCGGTTTTCGTCCGGGCACGAAATATTTATTTTGGCGGGGAAATTGATGTGAATAAATAATTTTGAAAATAATTTGTGAGTCGCCATCGGCCTTTTGGGTCAGGTAGGTCGAATACCTAAAAAATATCTTTTGAAAGAGTTTTAAGAAAACATCAATTAAAAGATAAATGATCTGCGTTTTAACCAAAAATTCGTTCTTTTAATAATAAAAAGGGATTCGTGGTCGGTACGTTTAGGGAAGGATTAGCACCCCTACAACGCCCAAAATTGGTACTTTTTAATTATAATTGTCTCTATTATTAAATTTAAAAATTCAAAAAATATATTTAATTTATAATTCTATTATTTCAAAATTATATAAAAAATATTTATTTATTTAAAAATATCAGAAAAGAACTTCTAGGTGCCTTAAGACAGCTCTTTTCTTTGATATTGATAAATATTAATTTAAATAATATTGTTTAAAAAATATCAGAATAGGACATCCAGTTGTATTAAGACTGCCTTTTCTTCGATATTAAAAATAAACATTAAAATTTATTCCAGATTTATTATATATATATTTATGAATACATAAAAATATTAAAAAATATAAACAAATAAAATTAAAACAATAAAAATACCACTAAAACAATATATTTTAAAAGCAATAAAATAAATGAAAACTTATAAATTAAATGACTAAATTATAGTAAAAATAAAATTAAAAACTTAATTCAATATTAATCAAAGTTATAAGGATTAATATGTATTTCTTTATTTTATTTATTTAGTGACTAAAATAAAATTATCTAAAATTCGGATATTAAAATAAAATAAATTAAAAATAAAACTAAGGATTAAAATATATTTATTAAAATTAAGGGATTAAATCTGTAATTTATCCTAAATATATTATTTTAATATGAAGGACTAAAATAAAAAGAAATTAAAATTCGAAAACTGAATTAAAATATTATAAATTCAATTTAGTGACTAAAATGTAAATTTTACAAATTATGAGGACTGCGGACAGGGTTTAACTATTGTATAATTACGCGCATAGTCCTTCCCGAAACGACGTCGTTCGGGAAGGCCTATATATGGTCCAAAACGCTGGCCCGAAGGGCCAGCCTTCATTTTTCATTTCACTCTCTCTCTCTAAACTGAGAGAGTTTTAAAACTCTCTCGCCTCTCTCTAGCTTCCCTCACCGGAGGGAAGCCGGTCACCGGACGGCAATCGTGTGCCGCCGTGATTATCACCGCCGGCCACCGCATCCGGTGGCCGGAAAAAAATATTTTTATACTAATAGATAGATCGGACCGTCCTAAGGACGGTTCCGATATTATTTCCTCCTAAAAAGCTCCCAATCGGAGCGAATCTACAAAAGTACCTTCGGTGTTTCGAAGGTTCCGGTGAGATCCGGTGACGGTTGGGGTTCTCCGATGACAGGGTAAGCTTCTTTCCTCTCTTCTCTCTTTTTTCCTTGCTGCGTTGATGTTGACTGAGATCGTTGGTATATTTTAGTATATTTTTTCTCTGTTTTTTTTTCCTCTCTATGTTCTCTCTTTTTTTCTGTTTCCGTCTCTGCCTCTGTCTCTGTTTCTTTTTTTTCTTCAGGTTGGGGTGGTGGCTTTTATAGCCACCACCGTTGTAGCCGTCGGACCGGTCCGAAGAATGCTCTTTGGTGAGTCACCGGACTCCCAGTGGTGACTCACCGTTTGGGGAAGACGTGTGCGGCTACGGAGGCGGCGAGAAAGTGTCGGCAGTGAAGGCTTCTGGAAGCAGCAGCGGCGGCGCTGGGACGTGTCCCTAGGGTATAGATACCCTAGGGTTTCCTCTGGCAAACTGTGGACCGTTGGATCAAACCAGATCCAACGGCTGGGATTGAAGATGGCGGCTGGTTTAGATTAGGGTTAGGAAACCCTAACTGGAAACCCAAATATTTAGGGTTTCTGGTTTGATTTGGACCGGTTCTGGTTTGTTTGTAACTGGGCCGGTCCAGTTGTAATTGGTCTGTAATTATTATTTATATATATATGTTTAATATATATTTAATAATAATAATAATGATAATAATAATAATAATAATAATAATAATAATAATAGTAATAATAATAATAATAATAATAATAATAATAATAATAATAATACTAATAATAATAATATGGATAAAAAATTAATATCTTTAGTTGCCCCTCTTTGCTCATTCTTGTGTTAACAAGAATAGGGCAAAGATGAAAAGATAATAAAATTTTTTTATCCATTTTGACTTTACTTTGATCATGATGGAGATATTGAATAAATTCTTCTCTCTCTCCAGATAAGTTCTTCTTATTATGAACTTTCTGCTGGGGATGATGATGACCTCCTTTCTGTGATAGAGTCATTCAAAAGGTTGAATAAGCTCTTGATGAGTTCTTCTCATTATGAACTTTTTCTAGAAAGGCTGATGCTAATCTATCTCCTTCTGCGATAGAATTATGCAAAAAGTTGAACAAGTTCTTCTTATTATGAACCTCTTCTTTCTTCTTCAGATGAGTTCTTCTCATTATGAACTTCTCCAGAAATGTTGATCCATCAATTGATGAATTCATGCAAAAGATTGAACAAGTTCTTCTCATTATGAACTTCTTCTTCCTTCTTCAGATGACGAGTTCTTCTCATTATGAACTCTACCTGGCAATGTTGATCCATCAAATGATGAATTCAAGCAAAAGATTGAACAAGTTCTTCTCATTATGAACTTATTATTCCTTCTTCAGATGAGTTCTTCTCATTATGAACTTTCTCTGGAAAAAATAATCCATCAAGTGATAGATTTGAGCAAAAGGTTGAACAAATTCTTCTCATTATGAACTTCTTCTTCCTTCTTCAGATGAATTCTTCTCATTATGAACTTCTCTGGGAATGTTAATCCATCAAATGATAGATTTGAGCAAAAGGTTGAACAAATTCTTCTCATTATGAACTTCTTTTTTCTTCTTCAGATGAGTTCTTCTCATTATGAACCTTCTCTGGCAATGATAATCCATCAAGTGATGAATTCAAACAAAAGGTTGAACAAATTCTTCTCATTATGAACTTCTTCTTCCTTCTTCAGATGAGTTCTTCTCATTATGAACCTTCTCTGGCAATGATAATCCATCAAATGATAGATTTGAATCTTTGCTAAAATCTTTGAAATTCCTGTTAAAAATTCAACATAGATGAAAATGAATGAAAATGCACCTATTTTTGTAAACACCTAAAATATGATGCATGAATGTTAAGTTATTTGATTTCAGATTGGTGAATTGAGTATTTCTTCAATTGTAAAAACCCAATAGATCTTTCTTCTTCAAAACAAAGAATCTATCATCTTTGACAAATGTAGATGTAGATATAATGTCACAAAACCTCTTGAGAATAAAACTCAATAGTATAGGCTCTTGAAAAGCTTGCATTCAGGCAACATGTTGATTCTGATAACAATTCATCTGATTATGAAGTGACCTTTCAAGATGATTTCACAGATATCGATAGTTCTTCTAATACCGAGAAATCTTGACTTCTGATTCTGATGAGAAGAATAAACTGTTATACTTGACAAAAATGGGATTATCATGGGCTGAAACTTCAATAGCCCTGGAGAAATGTGGTCCAGATTCATCAATTGCAGAATTGGCAAATTTTATATGTGCCGCTCAAATGACTAAGGCTGCTGATGCACTTCTTCTGGTAAAAAATAGGAAGTCATTATGCAATGATCCCAATTACAAGCAAAGGCAAAACTCGGGCTATGATTTTTGAAAAGGAAGAAGCAGAGGAAGCTTGAAAAGAAGCTTTTTAATGAAGATAATCATGCAGTTCATCTTTTAATTCCAATGATTGGTTCTGTAGTTCTTACCAAACCAGATCAGATAACTCAAAGAACACTTCCAGAAGATGCTATTAGCAAATTCATCTTCCAAATTCAATGATTGGTTCTGCCAAACCAGATCAGATAACTCAAAGAACACTTCCAGAAGATGCTATTAACAAATTCATCTTCTAAATTCAATGATTGGTTCTGTCCAACCAGATCAGATAACTCAAAGAACACTTCCAGAAGATGCTATGAGCAAATTCATCTTCCAAATTTAATGATTGGTTCTGCCAAACCAGATCAGATAACTCAAAGAACACTTCCAGAAGATGCTATGAGCATATTCATCTTCCAAATTCAATGATTGGTTCTGTCCAACCAGATCAAATAACTCAAAGAACACTTCCAGAAGATGCTATTGGCAAATTCATCTTTCATTTAATGTTTGGACTAGGATATCACAATGCTTATTCGATGTAGAGCCAGAATTTGTAGATTCGAAGCATTTCCATGCTACTACACTGAAAAGGGCTATATTCATAATTCTGCCAATTAAGAACAGATTTTCTCTTTATTCTGCTTCCTCCATGTGCTGATGCTTTTCCATTGACAAAGAAATGATGGCCTTCCTTTGAGTGTCCAGAAGTATTTTCTTGATGAATGCTGAAAATGGAATCTAGTATGGGTTGGAAGGAATAAAGTTGCTCCACTTGAACCTGATGAGGTGGAAATGCTTCTAGTTTTCTTTAAAAACCATACACAAGGATCTGTATAGAGACATATTTCCCAGTGATATCAATGTCTTGTTTCCTTTTGTTGGAATCAGTGCTGCAAAGATCACCTTCTATTGTCTTAGTATTTTTTTGAAAACAGATGTGCAAGAACTGAATGGTGATCGGTTGGAGCAATTGATGAGTAGATTTGGCGGATTCGACTTTGTTGTCGGTAGGATCTCGTGTAATAATCTTGATGTTCATGGCTTTAAGCTAGTGATGATTTGCTTACTTTGTATTCCATGTATTCAAAAGTATTAACATAAAGTGATATTCAGAAATCTTTAAATTATTTCAAAATTATGTT